TCCACACGGCAAATTTGTCTTACGGGTTAACCTGTTTTCAGAATTCCCCCTATGGATTGATGGCCTAGTTTGATACTTTCTCCAGGATATATGAGGCAACCACTGTGCTGTTGCCACATTTCCCTATAATAAATTAAGCAGTTTGTCCTATAATCGAAGCTAAATATTTTTCTTTACTATATTTATAGAAAGTGTAGATTTGTACAGGCTTTTTTTTTTAAGTCTAGCATAATACTTAGCACATAATAGAAGCTCGATTTTAGCATTTGTTGAACTGACTGAGGCACTCACACAGAATTACTGTTTGCATGGCTCTCTTCCATCAGGTGCCCTAGTCCACACTGCACTTTCCCCCGTGGGAGTTTGTTAGGAACAACCGATTGCAATATTTCAGTCCACTGAGATGCAAATGCAACATGTTGGAATTAGATGTGGAACTCTTTGACCTCTGATCAAAATGAAATCATCAGATGTTCCACTTTAATGAAACCTTGAAAGAGCACAGGTCCAAACCTCCTTAATGCCAGTTTGCATTTGGAATTTGTTCGATGCTTCTCAAAGGACTTTTGCATCTGTTGTCACAGTGGACTTTGACATAACCCTGTCAAAGTCATAACCAAGTGTGGGGGATAGGAATAGATGTGAAATTCCAACAGTCACAACTGTGGATGTGGCCTGTAAAAGAATGAAGACTGCAGGGTGAAAAGAAGGGTATCTTCGTCCCAGTTTCGCTAAATTATGTTAAAGAAATCCTAAAATTTTCATGGATGTTTAATTTGTTACTTCCTCAAAAATTTTGTTACCTGCGCTGTGCCAGGTGTTCATCTAGGCACTGGGGCCACAGTGCATGTCCACAAGATAAGATAGGCAGGAATCAGCTCATGGAGTTGACCGTCTAGGAATCTGCTGGCTTGAGAAGTCTGGAGATGCCGCCTCCTGGTGTGTGCCCACCACAGTGCATGGCACAGGGTGGGCCCTCAGTAGATATTTGCTGCTGAGTAAAGTTAGGGAGCAGGTCTGTTCTCTTAAACAGATTGATAAGCTCATCTGGTGGGATTTTATCAAGTGCAGACATCTGTCTGTTCATTTTTTAACATCCTCACTATTAGCTTTACCGAGAAAGCCTTATTTGGAGAGAGCTGCTAAAAGAACTTTCAAAGACTGTTCTCACAGCTGTAGAACTACACATTTTTCTCCTTTAGCAACAGAAGCATTACTTAAGTAGACTGAATCTTTGTACCAAAGTTTGCTGGGGCATTCTTTTTTTAATTAAAATTTCTGATAGCTTCTAACCTTGAAAAGCTCTGGTCTACTATTCATACCTTGTTAGAAACGTGTAAAGCTGTGTGGAGGCAGAAGGAGAAAACCCTTTGCTTTTTACGAAACACTTTAATGGAGAGACTGTCTTTTGTCAGAGGGACAAGTTGGCACGGGTAAGAATACTGACAGTGATCTCTTGTGGGTAAGATCCTTTCTGGGACAGCAGGAGCCTTCTATGCAGGTAATGATGGTGCTTGCTTTGAAATGTGCCCCTGAGAACAAGGTGGAAAGACTTCAGAGACTGGGTTTTCTTTTAGACCAGCTGCTATTATAATTGTTCTTTGGTGAGCTGTGCAAGCTTAGAATAAGGATTCGGGTTTCTACTATGTGGATCAGCCAATGAAATCTTAGTTTAAGGGAATCCTAAGATTTCTGCTTCCTTTCAAGATGAGTGCATTCTTCATGTGAGCAACTAATTTGCTGAATCACTCTTTGGAGGGTCATGAAAACTTGACACCGTCATTTTTCTTGATGTTTATGTTCAGGTCTTTTGCTTTCCCAATTATAGTAACGTTGACAACAGGAGCCACGCAGAAGCATCACCAAATGACGCATTTGGTTTTGTAATAGGAAAAGCTTTCAGCCTTAACGTTACTGAATTACTGCTAGAGACTACAGCTAACATGGGAATATGTTCCTCGTAGTTTTGAAAAAAACTGAAGTAAAATAAGAAAAATGGAATAGCAGTGGGATTTAAAGCTTTCAGAATTCTGGAAGGAGGATCTTTTTAAAAGAAAATCATTTGACTGCTACAGCTAATTTTTTACCCAAGGAATAGGGCTGAGTAGAATATCTGTTTAAAGCTAACAGTTTCCACTGTTAAACTAGATTATTATCACTTGCAAAGATGGATTAGTGACTATTAAACATGAAGGTATTGATAGGTTGCAGTTCTCAAGCCCGCCGTAAATCTGTGCTGTTTTTAGTGGCTGCCTACGCCAGTTCAATAGGATTTAGAAAAGATAATCCCTTAATGAAGATGCTTATTGTATAACAGATGAACAGCTGCATAAGGCTTCAAAACTATATTGTTTCCTTTTCTTTTGTGCCTTAATTAAAAATATAAATAAAGGACATTGAGTATTCTCCCATTTGCCCCACTAATTATTTAGAAAACCTTCTTGGGCTTACTGCCAGCTTTTGGCTTCTTTTGGTTATGGAAGCCAGATGCTACACAACAGGATATGAACTCTTTTTTTTTAAGACCAAAAAAGACTCTAGCCTTTAAACTAACAGATGAAGTAATATCCTATTATACAGTGTGACTCCACAGACGCTCTCGTGTAATTGAGACTTGTTTTGCCAGAATTCTATCCTAAACATCCGATGAAATATTTAGGAGACTGAGACTTCAGGTTACTGAGCCAGGTTGGGGCTTTGTTTAACTGAAAATGAGGATTGAGATAAGGACAAGTCTCAAGTTCTTCTCTGTTTGCTATTTACAAGGAAGAGTGCTACCCTTGGCATCTCTTCCTGCAGCAGCAGGAGCGCTGCCCCTGGCTGTGTATTAAGTCACATAGGTAGTTTCCTGACTGAGTGAAAGGAGTAGAAGGTGGGCTCAAGTCAGTTTTGATTCTGAGCAGGTGGTAAGGTTTTGGCTCAGGTTTTGATTGCTGGTTAAGAACATCTTTGGTGAGTTTCTTGTCCTTCCAGTGAGGAATTACTCACCACTTGCAGCCAGGAGAGTCTTAAGTAATGTCTAGGTAATGTTTACATGCTTTGTCTTTAATAATTCAGTGAGGTGGCTCCCTATGTGGGGGGATATATATACGTGACACACCCTATGAACACGAAATAAGTACTTCTGGAACATCTCAGCCGTATGTAGTTCCTTTCTCACTTTAGTGAAGACAAGGTATTAACTTGCCTGTGGTTGTATGTGCCTTCACTGGCAGTGTAGGCAAAAAAAGCCAAAAGCTCAACTCTAGTTTCTCATTGCCATCTGTAAAAACAGGTGAAAAGACTTAAGTACCTCAACTAGGAAAGTCTGCAAACTAAACCGGTGTGGATGTGGATAATAGAGAATCGTGACGAGAATGCAAGAATCTATTGATGGTTTGTTTGTCTTTTTGCGTGTGCTGCACCACGTAGATTTGGTCAGGTCACTTCGCATCTTTGTGCTTCAGGTTGTCTCACTTGAAAATCTGGGCTAACAACCTTGAAAAGATAGTAAAATGTGTCTTAAATGCTTTGAGTGGTTTGTAATGATTCCGTTTCTTGTGAGTACAAGATGTTATTTCACAGACTTGGTATCTGAAGTCTTAAGTAGTTAACAGACAATATTTAATTCACAGGAGAGTGTATTTTGACACCTCTATCTACCAACAATATGCTGTTTTATTTTAAGTAGGTATAAAATGTTTTAAAATGAGCTAGAGTGTTGTGTGGTGGGTTTGGCTGCTTTGTTTTTTCCTGATGAGGGAAAACTAACCAAATGGAATGTTTATTATGCACTCAAATGGACAGTACCAGGGAACAAAAGTTGCTCTTCTGTTATCACTTATTCTAGGTTAAGTTTTAATATCCATAGTAATGAATAAATATTAAACTTTATTTATCAACCTCTAAAAATGAAGTTTAAAAATCTTACGTAGTGAGGTTCCCTGTTTTCATAATAAATTTTTTGACACTTAATGAAATGACTCCCCATCATATGCAGAATGAAATGTAAGCTTCCTTTACCATGGCTGATACAGTTTTGTAAGATCTGACCCCTGCCTAACTTCTCCAGCTTCATCTCAGGCCACTCTCCCCCCGGGGTGCCTAATACACCACGTTTTGTTGGGTTGTTGAGCCTGCCGGGTTCTCTTCCGTCTCAGGGCCTCTGCCTGGCTGATACATGGTGAGGTCCTCATCCATCAAGCTTTAGCTAAAACGTCTCCTCAGAGAGCGTTTCCTTGTGACCTCCCTTCTAAAGTAGATCCTTTGTTCATTATCACCGAATCCAGAGCTTTGTTTCTTTTCTGTTTCATAAACCACATCCAATTGATTAACAAATCCTTTTAGTTCTACTTGCACAGCAGCCAGAATTCTCCACCTCTGCCACTCTAGTCTAAGCCACTGTCATCTCTCACCCAGATGATTACAGTATCCCTGTCACCCTGCCTCCCCCTTTGTCCCTTTCAGTCTGTTTGTACAGCCACCAGAGTGATCCTGTCAGAAGCCTTCACTGGATTCCATTTTACTCAGAGTGAAAACCAGAATCTTAACCTCCTTAGTACAGAAACACATGCACACACACACCTCTCTCTCTCTCTCTCTCTCTCTCTCTCTCTCTCTCTCTCTCTCTGTATCTCTGTCTGTATGTTTCTTTCTCCCTGCTCTAGCCATGCTTCCTCCCAGGGTCTTTGCTCTTGTTGGCCTCTGCCTGGAATGTTGTTCCCCTGAATACAGATTTTCGTGGGTCACTTACTCAGTTCCTTCACATCTTGATTCTAATGTCACCCTCATCGCATGTTCTTAAATTTCAGCCTCCCACATCCACACTCTTTCTGCCCACTCCTTGCTTTATTTTTTCCTCTTTAGCACTTTTTGCTAACTAGTACATATTTTATCATGCTGTTTCTCCCAATGGAGTATAAACTCCCTGGGGGCAGGGAATTTTTTAGCTGAGTTTATTCTTGTATCCCCAGTGCCCAGAACAGTGTCTGGTATGATCAAATGTATGCATACATGTACGGATGCATAGTATTTATCACAGTTTGCAAGTTTATTTGCTCATTTGATATCTGGTTTCCCCCAATAGTCTGGGAGTGTCAGGAAAGCAGGCAATCTTTATCCATTTAGTTCACCATTCCGTAGCCAAATCTTAGCATGGTGCCTAACAACAAAATCATTCCATTTGTGAATCAGTGAATACTAATAATAACTTTGCCCGTATATGGCAGCTTAGTTTGTAAAGTACTTCCTTATGTATTATTTAATTTGATTTTCACAGTCTTATATTGACAAGGATAGTCATCTCTCTAGACAAGAATGCTAAGTGTAGGGACTTTTAAAGTCACTATATTGAAAGTGTTAACCTGGTGAATGCCAGCAAAACTGAACCCCAGACCTTCCTACTCAGTTCAGTGCATTTCCCACTATATCGAAAGATCCCCCATGAAATTTACTATGCAGATAAGTGTTTCAGTTACCTGTGTTCTTAAAACTATTGTCCTCTTTTGTATCACTAAATTTTTATTTCTGGGATTGTGAATAACACAAACAAATCCTGTCTTAAGTGCGTATATGCCTAAGAAGAGAGAGCGTTGAAAAGTGAGGTTTAAGATAGAACTACGGCTCTGAGCTAAACGAAAGTATAAGCTATGGTGTGAGTTACCACACAAACCATCCTGCTGCTTTACTTATCTGATTTGCTCATGTTGGAGAAGGACTTGATGAAGACAAGTAAGAAAAATGAGAGAGCGCCGGGTCCATGTTCTTATCACTGATGTAGTTTTCCTTTTCTTGACTTAGTGTTTAGTCCCCTTAGGAGGCCAGAATCTGTAACAGCACACTTTGCTTTGACAGTTGCATTCACAGCAGCCGGATTCAGGGGAGCTTCAGAGACTGTTGAAGGATTTGCCTGTACTTTGGCTTAACAGTCCATCCAGAAAAGTAGACAATCAGGATATGAATAAGTCCAGTCAGTCCATTAGCAAGTAATTATGATCTCAGATGTCACAATGTTGAATGATCATTCCTGACCTAATGGATACACCTCCATAAAATAGATCACTGTTCTTCACGTCTTACAAGTAAGGGTACATAAAAGCATGTATGTTACCTGGTAAAAGGCACCAATCCAACTGAATTTTCAGTAGAACCCAGGTTTCCTTCTGTGCCATTCCACATCCCAGTGTGATCTGACTTAAACTTTATATGTTGGGTTGAGTCTTGGTTAATTCTTATTTTAAGGACTAGGTTATATAAAATGTTGGCATGAGATCATTCGCACTATTCTAAGATTTATTTATTGTGCTAGATCTCCAGCTTGCTGCTGAGCTTGGGAAGACACTACTGGATCGGAACACAGAGTTGGAGGATTCTCTTCAGCAGATGTACACGACCAATCAGGAGCAGTTACAGGAAATCGAGGTAATTTACTCAGTGGGAGAGGAACCTTTGATGTGTGGCGTGTCGCTGCTGTTGTACCAATCATTCTGCTGGAATAGCACTTGCAATTCAAAGCAATGTTTAGTTTCTAATACAGACTTTTTTGAAAATAACCACTGGAAAGGGTGTAGAGGCTGATTTCTAACTTTTTCTAAGCTTTCCTAACATGTAAGTCTGCCCTTGGTGACGTGTGCTCGTAGAAAATGGTCCAGTGTTTGCCATTATGTGTAGCAAAATAAAGCTGTGAATATTATACTTAGTTTTTCATTTTTTTCTTTTAAAAAATGAATTGTGCAATATTTGAGTTATGCAAACAGGTACAACAAGAATAATACAGTGAGCAACTATGTACCCACCACCCAGCTAAGAAAGGAAACGATCCACACTGTTGAGGCTCCCTCTATAACCCCCTCTTGGTTGCATCCCCTCCCCTTACCAAACACCATCCTAAATTTGGTTTTAAATGAAAAAAATTTTAATTGTAATACCTGATTTCACAATGTGTTTAAATTCCTTATGCCATTCAAAGAATTAATCATAAAATAGATGTTTCTTTCTCCCTGCTGTGATCTTGATTTATTTACATTTTTAGTAGATTTTAAACATTAAAACACTATTTTTTCCTAGTCTAACAAACTAAAATGAAAGATGCTAGATTAAGGTTTTGAAATGGAAGGTGCTGTAAATGGTCCCATTAAAGTACCCCAGTTACGTGTAGAGGCCACATGACTGTGAAGATGATGATTGTGGATATTAACCAGACAATTTTCCCATTAGAACACCTCATGCCCCATACTCCCCTCACAGCCTTGCCCTTAAATTATAACTGTTTCCTTTCAGATTGGCACAGTAGAATCAGGGCTCTTATGTCTATGTGCAGAAATATATAAAGAGACCTTAGAACACTGAAGCCATTCATCATGATGAGAACTTAACTGAGCTCTGATTATAATCTGAACCAGGTGCTAAAAACATGGAAGAGCAGAGTAACACAGTCTTCAATGTCAATCAAAATTACACAGAGTTCAATTTTTGAATACAAATTAACCTATCACCAATACTAACACAAATTTATCATTTCAATATCCTTAATTTTACATAGCCATAATTAAGGTGCATACTTAGATCCCCCCATCAGGATTTATGAATTAAGCCAATGATGTGACTGAAATACACTTTTATAATTGTAGGAGTGTGTATCTTATAATGATATTGAAGTCACCAGCTGTCATTTTTTAGTGCCTTCTATATCAAAAGAGCTTAGAACATGCTATATCCAAATTGAATTTATTATTTGTAAAATTTGTCAGAAACTTAAAAATGCAGGAAGCCAGGCATTTTTAAACTGCTGAACTAGGCAAATGTAATACATGGTCAAGGAACTCTTCCTGTTTGTTTCATAGACTTTGTTTTTCAACTCATTAGAAGATTTCAGAGTGCTCCTAGGGCATATACATGAAGACGCTCATATACTGTGAGGTGTATTTATTTGTTTTTGAAACATAGAAACAGTCTTAATACATTGTATTGATGTTTTCTATGAAAGCACCTATAAATCACTATAACTGAATGTTATAATGGATACTTATTTTAGCATATCTCCCAAGTATAGATGAAAAAGTCCAAATATTTAGATTGGAGGACAACGCCTATTTTTTTACTGTAGGAGATAACAAACAAATACTTTATGATCTAAGTTACTTGTCTTTCTACCTTTGTTTTCTTTTCTGTGGTATTGAGGATGATTAAACAGTTAAAACAGATCACTGACATTCTGAAAAAAATCCAAAGATCTTTGAGATTCTCCAAACCTACACATAACATTCCACCATCTAGTGTCTTATATGCAACGCATAATAGAAATGAAGTATCCAGGTCTGACCTTAATGATTACATAAATATAAGATTAAATATATGTATACATCTAATCAACCAAATTTAGCCTCGGGTACTTCCAGAGACATTTCCATGGATCTCTTGTTTCTGTGTGGCCCACTGGTTCATAGATCCAAGCATTGTAGCCTTCAACATTGTATTCCTTACCCAAGCTGTTTTTTGACTAAGAACAACACTGTCTTGCTATTATGGTTGGCTTTCTTCTTTCTTTCTTTTTATAAATCACTCCCTGAAGGCTAGTACGAACGGGGTGAAATGGGGAGACGAAATGGCAGTTCTGGCTGAGCCCACTTACCAGCCAGAGGACTCCCACATATCAGCCTTACAGCCTGCTCGGTTCACATCTGTGCCTGGGCAGACTTGCAGGGCACAACAGAGACTTCCAGGGTCTCTCTCCAATAGTCTAAAGGAAGTGCGGATGCTCTTGAAGAAGTAACCAGACAGCCAAAGAGCCCGATGCTCTTCTAAAAGATGACCCTTGCAACATCTGCCTCTTATCATGCCCTTCTGGAGCCCCCTAAACTTGAGGGCTCTTTCCTTGATTAAAACCTTATGTCTTTTTTTTTTCTCTTTTAAGTAAACTTTTTTTTTAAATATACATACAGAGAAAACACAAATACCAACTATACAGTTCAAAGAATTTTCATAAACATACACATGCAGCCAGCACCCAGCTAAGAAATGCAAGCATCATCAGCCCTTCCAGTCACCACCCGAAGTAACCAGCACTCTAACACCCTAGATTAATTTAGCCTGTTTTTTTTTTAACTTTACATGAATGGAATCACTTGTACCAGTTTTAAACTAATTTTTAAGAATATTTATTGGGAATTTTCCTGCTTAGAAAAGTAATACATCGTCATTGTTTTAAATTTAGCAAAATATACTTAAAAATCAAAAAGTAAGCTCTTATCCCACCAACCCAGAGAATTTTTAAATCAGCCAGAAAATGGTCCTGGAACAAACCCCTCACAACAGAAAAAGAATAGTGCAGAACTGGTGGAAGTGCTAGGATCAAATCCCCAGAACTGTGACTCATTATGGGAATAGACAGCTAGGAAACTGTCAAAGGATGTTTTGTCAGTAGAACTACAAGTATGCTTTCAAAGACGGTCAGTGGATTTCGAACAGTCCTCATAAAAATTGATCAGTATTTTGTTAGGCATCATTTTTAATGTAAAAAAAAAAGATTAAATAAAGGTATAGCCATAGCCTGTGTAGCTTTCACTCAGTGTTAATCTGAGCATCTCATTTTTCAAGATTGCAGAGCAAGTTTTTCTATCCTGGATAATGGGGAGGAGAGAAGCTTTGGAGAGTAATGAGATCTGACACCATCAAACACAATCAGATTCTCTTAAAAATTTCCTATAGTCATGTAAGCAGCCTTGTGTTTTCTGTTGCTTCTCTGCTTGGAAACCTGCATTATCCCCACAGAAGTCAAAGTAGGCCTTAGGGTGTCCCTTCTTTGAAGAGCTCATGTCTTCCTTGGAAATTTTTAAGTATTTTGTGCCCATCCCTCCACTGTTTTGCTTAAATATCCCCTCACCTCCACCCCTGTTTAATATGCGGAGTACTTTTGAACTTGAGCTCTTTGTTGGCACTTGAATCTTAGGGTCCCGGCAGCCCAGTCGGATTCATTTGAGGCCTTGTATCACAGACTCTGAACTGAGAAAACCAGAACATGAGAAGCAGGGCCATACCTTTCAAGGGAGGGTAGGAAATAAATTAACCCATTTCCTTTACTACACTTTTCAATATTCTGTATATTATCCTTATTTCTTGATTTATTTTATTCTCCTCCCCTCCCCCCTACTTCCTGTTGCAACATTGAAGGCTGTTACAGTGTTTATTCATGGTCTTTCAAGCATAGTAGATAATGGGTGGGGGAGAAGGGTATAACTCAAGCAGTAGAGCATATCCTTAGCATGCACCACGTCCTGGGTTCAATCCCCAGGACCTCCTCTAAAAATAAATTAGAAAATAAACCTAATTACCTCCTCCCACCAAAAAATAAAAATAAAAAAAATAGTAGATAATCAGTGAATACTTGTTCAAATCAGTATCTTCACAGAGAACAGATATGCAGTTTACAAAGTACTTCCAATAATTCCTAAACTGTGTGTTTCCACCTCTGGAGATTTTGAAAGGAATTCTATAGCAAATAGCTAGACTTCAGGCCTCCTCTCAGATCTTGTTTGCTCTGCTGTGTACTGGTGATAAGAACGCTTGCATGACATTGGCGCAGGGTTGTTCTGAGGTGATGAGATTATGTAAGTGTATATTTTGGATAGTTTAAATTGTAGCACAGTTTATCCATGTTCTAAGAATTTTAGTAATGAAAGGATCTTAATTCTGAAAAAAATAAATCCTTTTCAGTTACTGGAAAATAGATCTTAAGAACAAGCCAAGCTTTTAATAGTGAGATTATAGGTGGTTTTTATTTTCATATTCATGCTTTTTTACTTTTTCCTAAAACCCCTTCAGAAGAAATATAATACTTTAACCAGGGAAAGGAGGTTTTTCAAAGGCAATGGGAAATATTTCTTC